TATACAAAGTATTGCTAATTATGATTGGTCAAATCACATGTTGTTTACATGTAAATCATATAATACTATATGATATTAATTACACGATGTTGATTTACAATCTATTTTATATGAATTTGGAAATAGTTATACCTACACTTAAATAGAAATTTTCTCTTACTGCTTTTCTCAACTCTTAAAGGTATATATTTATACTAATGATTCTTTCTTTTTATTATTAATTAAATAAAATTACTAATAATTTGATTTAAATACTTATTATTTGACAATTATATGCAAATATTTTAAATAAATAGAAAGTATAGATGACTTAATATGAGCTATATATTTACTATATTCTTACAATGCTAAACAATATATTCATCAAATTCAATTTCTTAATAAAGAAGTTGAAATAACATATATAAACGATACCAAAACATGTTGTTTTTTTCAAGAAATTGGAGATACTAGTAATTTTCATAAAAATTTAACATCCCAATTAGATTCGATTATTAATATTAATGATATCAATAATGCTCCAAATGAAAACAATGATATCTTAAATGTGAAATATAAAGAACTTTACTCTTTTTCTTGTAAATATGCTGTATTCAATTATTAATTATTGATATATAATCTTTATTGAATAACTTCAACTTTGTTAAGGTAAAGAAATAGTGCAAATGGATGATGCTAATAAAAACAGTAAAGTAATGCAAGTGGATAACGGTGGTGATTTTGAAGATAAAGATCATGAGGAAAACGAAGAAATAATGCAAGAAGTTGAAGATCACAAGGAAAGTAAAGCAATAATGCAAATAGATAATGTTAATAAAAACAATAAAGTAGCACAAGTGGATAATGGTAGTGATGTTGAAGGTGAAGGTCATAAGGAAGGTGATGGTGAAAGCAAAGATCATAATAAAGGTAATGAAAAAGGTGATAATGAAGAAGACGATGAAGGTGATAAAGAGAGTAATGAAGGAAGTGATAAAGATAAGAATGAAGATGAGGATAATGATGATGAACGAAATATTAAGCGACAACGTAAATCTATAATTTTAATTAGTTTTATTAGCTTAAAAAAAAAAAAAAAAATACTTACTTTAATTTTAATTTTAGGAATTGCGACAAAAACTTCTAAAAGGGTTAATTGTCCCTCTATACCTACTTTCCTTCAAGAAGTATCCCCAGATATTATAAATCAATGTATTATTTTAGCATCTATTACACAGGATATTAATTTTAACAAAATTGAAATTAATCTGACAAAAAAAATTGCAACACTTAAGAACAATCGAGGCGAAATTGTATTGGAGCCAATAAACCCTATCGAAATTAGGAAGTCAATTATAAATATTAAATTTCCTAAATTTGAAAGGGTTAGTAAAAAGCAAGTTAGCCAAGATCCTTACTCATATCTTGGCTATTTTGCTAGTTTTCAACCTACTAAAAAAAAGGAGATATTAACTGGAAATAAATTAAAGGTTTCTAAGCAATTTCATGAGTTATTAGCATTTGAAAGCGAATTAACCATAATAGCACTATTTTATAATAAAAATTTATTTATTAAAAAAGATGATTATTATAAAAGTCTTCTTAATTATCTAAAGGAACTTTCTATACTTCATAAAACTTCAATAGTCCAATTTAATCCTGCTCAGATTAATAGTGGATTAGCTTTGGAATATGAAAATCTTGTATTATCAAATTCAGATGATAATTTAAATTTACAAGATCAAATTATGCTTTTAAGGCATATGCCGCAATTATCCCAGGATCTCAAAGTCAATAACCTATCAAAGAATGATTCATTAGAAAAAAAAGTAGAAATTTTTTTAATATTAATGAGTACATGCTATCAGTCTATTTTTGATTGTAATATTACAACTTATAATATTGAAGTTTCTCACAGAATGTCACTTCGATTCTTATATAAATTTGAAATAGCATATAATTACTTAACAGACTGGATAAATAAATATACAACCCGTGAAAAAGGAACTCTGTGTGCAACTCAAGTAAGGGCTTTACTTACTGGGAAAGAATCACTATATGACATGTTTAATATTAATAAATCAGACAATTCTTTTAATATTAAACATGTTATTGATAGTGATTCTTTCAAAGTAAGAAAAAGAAAAAAAATCAGAACTTAGAAAGCTATTCAGATCTAAACATAAATATCCCTGCTTTGTAGAAAATATTTCATCAAAAAAACCTACAACTTTTATTACTGCAGGACCTCGCTTGCATCAATTACTTAAAGCACTTAATAATAATTGGGTACTTTTGGATATAATTGATGATGTTAGTATTACATGGTTAGAGAGTATGAGAAAAGATGAATAGACTGCTTTTATTAAAAATATTAAAGGATATTAAAATTTTGTATTAATTTTTGTATTGTTTTGCTAGATTACTTTTATTGTAATATATTATTTTGTATAAGTGAAATATTGATTATATTAAATAGGTAATTATATAATTTAAATAGCAATTATAATAAAATTTTTTATTAGACTTTCAATAACTGTCTATAGAAAATCTATTGATAGATTTTCCAAAGATGGCTATACACAAAATATAATTGAAAGTTTGATAACAGAGTTTTATTTACAGATTATTCTTATATAATTATATTGATTCTTTTAATTTTTTGCAACTTGTTTTTGTGCTTTTCTATTAGTTTGGCAAAATACAAGTTTGTTTTTTGCAAAAAAAAGTATTAAAAAAAGGTTAGTTTTTTAATAAATTAGTAAAATTAATTAACTTAAAAAATTTAATATTTCAAATACTTATCTTTAATTTATAAATTTTATAATAATCAGCTATGGATAATAAAGTTTTATGCACTTGTGTATTTTGCATGCAAGAAACTAATGGTTGTGGCAAATTATTAAGTATCTCTACTCGAACAAGGCATAGGAAGCGAGAAAAAAATCTTCAAAATTCTTTTCCAATTTCAAATAATACATCTAACAATATTTTAAATAATCAAATAAACATTGTTAGTATGGAGGATATTGAGGAAAATATTGAACAAAATAAGATAAAAAAAATTTTTTGATTATCTTGAATTGATTTTTTTTTTAATTGAATTAATCTTTTAGATTTAGAAAATAAGAAATTGGAGGAGAATGAATTAGATAAGGAGAATGAATCAGAGGAGGATAAATTGGATAAGGATAATAAATTAGAGGAGAATGAATTGGAAGAGGAGTGTGAATCAGAGGGGGATGAATTAGAGGAGAATGATTCAGAGGAGAATGAATTAGAGGAGGATGAATTAGAGGAGGATGAATTAGAAGAGGGTGAATCAGAAAGTAGTGAAAAAATAAGTTTTGAATCAGAAGAGAGTTTTGATAATGCTAAATTTAATGGTAATTATTTTTTAATATTTTATTTAAAAGTTTTTTTAAAAATTTTAATATTAATATTTTTATATTTTAGATTTACCAAGTGAAATAATTAAAGGGCTTCAGCTTCTTTATATCAAAGATAAACATACAATTTCTGATCAAGCATTTAATCAAATATTAGAAATTTTTAATATTTTTAATGTTTCTCTTTATCAGCTTTGAAAAATTTAGGAAATTTGGTTTTGCTAGAACCAAAATTTATAGACATTTGTTGGAATTCTTGCTGTGTATTTGCTGGACAAAATGCTAATCTTAATACATGTCCTATATATAAAGAGTCACGATATACAACTAAAAAAAAATCCAAAAAATCTCGAAAACAATTAGCATATTTTTCAATAATTGATAGCTTAAAATTGCAATATAAAAATCCATTATAAGCAAAAGATCTTAGATATCGGTATGAATATACATCAAAAAAAGAATATACTTCTGAGAATAGCAAAATTGGTGATGTTTTTGATGGTAATAGATATAAAACTTTAGTAGCATTAGGCTTATTTTTAGATTATAGAGATGTCGCTTTAATTGCATCTATGGATGGCTATCAAGTTTTTAAACAAAAACGAAATGACTGTTGGGTAATTTTGCTTTTAAATGCAAATCTTCCACCATCAAAAAGAGTAAAAAAAGAAAATTTAATAATTAATATGGTTATACCTGGACCAAAATCTCCAAAAGATTTTAATAGTTTTTTATGACCATTAGTTGATGAATTAAAGCAACTTGAATGTAATTTTTTTAAAATTTTAAATTATATGATTAATAGTATTAAATATATTAATTAAATTAAAATTTTGTAGGTAGTGTAACTTGTTATGATGCAATATTAAAAGAGATATTTAAATTGCATAGCTATATTCTTTCATGGTCTGGAGATATTTCTGCTTTATCTAAAGTTATATGTCTTTCAGGTCATAATGCTAAATATGGATGCCGATATTGTTATATAAAAGGATTTTATTCTGAAACTGCTAGACATATATATTATCCACTTCAATCATTACAAGAATATAATAATTATAATCCAGAAAATTTACCAATGCGTTCTCATAATAGTTATATTCTAGATAGTAATGACTGCAAAAAAGGTAATTTTTATTATTATATTAATTTAATTTTAACTTATTTTAATTTATTTATTTATTATATTAATAGACGTAAATGGATACAGTATTTTATTTGAATTATCTTCAATTAATTTTCCTTTATCATTTCCAGTAGATATTATACATGCACTTTTTGAAAATGTTGCTCCTCATATGTTTCATCACTTTATAGGCAAATTTTTTAAAAATGAAATTTTAAATAATACAGAATGTAAAATTTCAAAAGATAATTGGAATGAAATTGAAAAAATAATTGAATATAATAAAAAAGCAATGCCAACAGATTTTAGTAAGCCTCTTATTAATATTCAAAAATATTATTTATCTTTTAAAGCCGAGGAGTGGTGTAATTGGATACTTTTGTATTCAATTCCACTTTTGCATAAATATCTTCCAGAAAAGTAATTATTTTTTAATAATTTATATGTTTAAAAAAATTAATATTATAAATAGTTATTGATTTTATTAAATTTATAGATATTTAAATAGATGGTCAAATTTTGTTAAAGCAACAAAGTTATGCCTTAATGAAACTTTATTAAAAGATGAACTTAAAGAAATTCAAATACTATTTATCAAATTTATTAAACATTATGAACAGTAAGTTTTTAAAATATAATTTACAAAATAACATTTTTAAAATTTTAATTAATATATTTTTTTAGAAAATATTATCAAAAAAAATCTGAACGTCTACAGGCAACTTTTATTAGTTTTCATTATCTTTTACATATTGCTAAATCAATTTATGAAACTGGTCCAGCATGGGCAACATGGCAATTTTCAATAGAAAGATTATATGGAATATTAATACCTTTAGTTAATTCTCATATACATCCATATAAAAATTTAATAAACCAATTAACTATGTGGACACGTTTTGTACATTTACAATATAATGATAAATATAATCAGCAAATTTTTAAATCAATTTTTAATGAATCTTTTAATAAAGAAAAATTATTTTCTTTATCAAAAGAACATATAATGACAAAAGGTGAAATTCAAAAAATCAAACAATATTATGCAACTGAATTTGATTTACCATTAAAAAATATAGAGGTAAATATTTTATATTAATTATACTTAATTAAGATTATATTTTTAATAAAATATTTTAAAAAATTTAGATCAATACTACTAAAATTTACAAATATAGCAAATTAAAAACAAATTCTGGATCAATTATAAGTTCATTATTTTTTAATAATAATGAAGATATAAGAAGAAACAATTATTCAATAGCAGTATGTAATTCTTTTTAAATTATATAATATTCCAATATTTTATAATTATATTTTATAATTATTATAGGCAAAATTTCTTGTTGATAAAAATGCATATCGTCTAAAAGCTCCTATTGTTTTTGAAGAACA